TGAAGAACAAAATGGACACACGAATTCAAAACAAAAATGAATTTTTGCCAACGCTCAAGAAGTTGCTGCCGGAGCCCTACGGTGCCTTAAGATGTCCTCACGAATGGCCCGATATTTTTACGATCAGAGCCGAATTTGAACCTTTACTCTATCGTGTATCCACGTCGACGCTAGCATCGACGCAAGAACAAGGTTACCTAGAGTATCCAACCAGCTCTGTGTTCAAAGACTCTGGATAATTAACATACAGAACAGAATTGTTAAAGTTGTAATGAAAGACATCAAATGCTTCGAAGAGTAACTTATGTTTGTTGCAAGCTATTTTCTTTTAACTAGTGAAGGCAATTGTTGATGAGCTGCTAATTACAAACTTGCCGAAGGATCCAAGAGTTTATAGTCTGGTTCCCAACAAAAAAAAAACATTCATATGTATTTAAAGATGCACTCGTGATTGTTTACTGAACATTTACATTAGTTACGTTATACTAAATGTGTAATACAAATATCAGTCATTTCGCGTGAATGTGCATAGCCTCAATAATTGTGAGTAGTAATTGCCTATTGCAGAGCGTTTTTCTGTCTTACAATGTTATATTAACTACTATATCGACATTTAATCCAAGACAAGCACATAAAATCAACTATATAGGCCATTAGATGGCTTGGGTCTCGAGTGGATTAGACAATGTCCGTCATATCTGCGTCAAGATGACATATTCTGAAGATGAATGTCGTCTCTGATGGATAATGGCACTCAAAGGGCTGACAGTGTTATACATAACTTTCTATTATTATAGGTTGAAAGTCTAAATCTCGCAAAATACCTCTTCAATTTGGAAAGATTTTCGTCGCTATATCCATGGCTTGTTTGGTAATTTTGTCAGTCACTGAGTTGGGGGTGACATTGATTCCGCTTTGACACCTTCATATTGTGTAGATTACAGGTTATAAATAAGTTGAATTGTTCTCCCAGGAGACAAATTATATTATCATTTATTTACGTTTATAAGAATTCGACACTGTTCATGGCAATCCCGCGAGGATTCTATTCAAATGCTGGATTATATCCTGTCTAGCGGGTCTGGGCAATTCTTCTAAAGCTTGTTAGATCTAGTTGACAAGAGTCAATAATGTATGCATGCTTGAGAACTGACTGTTCTTTGTTCGACATTGTATAATTATTGTGTTAATTATTACATAAACATTGTTAGTTTCGTGATGGTATTCTACGCAATATTTATTTGGTTTCCATAATCAAATAACTATCCCTGCGGAATCAGTTCGTTCTGGTAATAAATCAAGTATTCAGTTTGGTTTGGGAACTAAGGATAACAACCTTTTCAGCCTGAACATTTCCAAGCTACCTTCTTTCATTGTATATCATATAAAAACCTCTTGGATTCCGTGATAACTAGTCTTAAACTAGATTTATCTTAACGCTCTCAAATAGTTATCATTAGACATCAGACACGTGCTGTCTGAATTATAGGTAGAGCGCTAGCCTTTTGTAAAGAGCACGGTCATATCATTTTGAGAAAATGACAAGCAGTCAAATAAAAATACCCATATTCTGAAAAAATCGGAAGTATGTAAAGTAAACTTGTAAATTATCAGTTAATCAATAGCCTAATGGACAAATAAATTTTTGATAAGTTGTCAAACCTGGACATCTTATTCTATTTCCTGTAATTTACGTTGACCTGACTAACGCCATGTCGTACCTGTCAATGACCGCTATCTTTTATCGATAAAGTATGCTCGTGTGAGATAATCCAACTCAATATCATCAACAGTCTCCGACATTGCAAACACGACTTACCGGTCAGTTTAAATCAACATTGGTGTTACTATCTTACCGTGAAAAGATGGGCTTCTGATATACAATATTTAAGACAAAATGAAAATCTTCAAAATGGCACATGAATCGCGTGTCAGAATGCTTTCGAGCGCCAATTGTAATGAAGCGACTCGATGAATGAGCCTAAACATATCCCACAGGAGAATACTTCAGGTGTAGACTGGAATAGCCAGACGCCAAAGACTGCCACAATCCAATTTTGGACTCTTCGCCTATTTCGCCGATCATAACTGATAAGAAATTACAGTAAAAATAGAAACGATGGAATGTAAATCAGTTAATATATATATTCATATTATATTATTATATGTGTTGCGACCCATATGTGTCCATTTCTAGTTGCCAAAGAATATAGAATTAGCTCCTTTAAAACCTAATCCGGGGTATGAACAAAGGACCGAATAGAAAGCCTTCTCATGGTCTTTTCAGAAAGATAATAAATATAATCAATTTGAATAATATACAACGGTACTGTAAATGGTATAAGGTGTTCTAGAATACGCATACTCAGTACAAACTTAAATGCACCTATAATTATCGAATTAGAGCAATGTGTTTTTTGTAAGAGTTTTTGAACGCAAATTTGCTTCATTTGTTTAAAATAAAATGCATATAGCTAATTCTGAAATTTAAACGTCTGTATTTCAGCAATCGATATTTGTCTAATTCAAAACTGTCTCATTTAAACATGTCCGTTATATCTTTATAGTCAAACCCGTCTATTGGGAGGGGGAGGGGGGCAGTTGTAACAAATTAACGGAAACCCTGCTATCTGGGCACAATTTCCCCCCATGGCTCACTGCATAGTGTATGTCCGTCTTCGTCACAAATTGACGGGAAGCAGTTGGAAGTTAGTTTTCATTCGCTCTTTACAATGTTTATATTAAGTTGGTTGCAAACTGAAATGAAATAGGGGACCATTAAATTCAGGTTCCATTATATGTAATTAACTTTTATAATGTGAACTACAACGATACAAACTGGATAATTGTCTTATGATTGAGATACTAAAAAGACAAACCGTCATTATATGCCTTTAACGAGTCTTAATGGAATTGGGTGTGTTGTCGTTGATTCAGTAACAACTGCTTCTAAACGATATAACAGAAATATAATCGTGACGTGTTTTTTTTTCAAAACTGAATTAATGACAACATTATGAAACGGTAGGAGAAGTTCGGAACACTTTATATGCAGCAGTCAGTTGATTTTAAAGTGCATATCTGGTGTTCTCATTCTCCGTATCCACATTTTATTATATAAGGTTTTTTTTACAAATGGAATGTTAAACATCAAACAGGTCGTTTCATCCGTTATTAATGCTACGTTTCCCAGTTTTGTGACCAATATTAAAGATGCATTATGTGCGTTCAAATCCATTTAAAACTCTGTCATCCGATGGTCTAGGGGGTTGATTATGACTTGTCGTGTTAATAAAAGTCTAAATAATGGTTTATATAGCAATTGAAGCCAAACAAAAAACCCGTAATAGGCAGATTTAGATATTAAATAATGGATCTTTAATGTTCTGGTAAATGTGTCGTACATCATCACCGAGATTTAGACGAAGTCACGAAAATACTGATCTTCCGACTCAATCCATCCTTGCAAACAGGGAAGGTAGTATTAATCTGTATTTCGTGACAACTAAGACAAGTGGAGCACATAATTTAACAAGGACAGTCTATATGTCGAATACGTTTGGTTTTTATCTGAAATAGATTAAAGAATATTTGTTGAAAGGTCGCGCTATATGTTGAACAACCAGTAATTGCATTTCGTATTACTGTTTAGTATGTTCTTTTACTTGAAAGTAGTTTGTTTTCAACTGTTTTCATACAATGACACCAAATTATGTAATGTATGTTGACGTCTCTCGCCACTGTTGTTGGCAGTCCTGTCGTAGTGTTATTCTGCTGTAGTGGCTGATCTTTCTGCTCTCAGATAACTCCCGGTACTATTCTACTATGGTATACAGGTCACAATTCTATGGAATACAATTACTGCTTTTTACTGAGCGACGTTTCGACTAGGCTTCTCTAGTCATTATCAAGCTATGATAAAAAATGAAAATATGTGGCAGTCAAACTCATTGATCAGATACGAAGAACAGAAGGAAAATATGTACATGTATGTAATAATCTTACTCAGCATTAACTAAGCATTGTGGTGTACATGTATATATTGTCCTGTCATATTTTCATTTTTTATCATAGCTTGATAATGACTAGAGAAGCCTAGTCGAAACGTCGCTCAGTAAAAAGCAGTAATTGTATTCCATAGAATTGTGACCTGTATACTCTAGTTCAATTACTAAATGCCATTGAAACAGTTTATTCTACTATGGTTGCATTTCTACATTTATCAATTACACATACATTATTTATAGCCATTCGGGAACCAGCACAGTGCCGCGTACAGTTTGTGAAGCCAAACGTGTAAAAACGATATTAAAGGCCAGGAGTCGTTATCAAATTAATATTAAAAACATTAAGTTAACGATGCGCCATTGGCATTTTTCGCTAAAATATCAAATTTTCCACAGCTTAATCCTCACTATGTACTCTGGTTGATTATTTAAACATCCATTAAATTCTCATTGACAACAAAATGGCGACGGGCGTATCGCTAATGAAGACGGAAATAAGCCATATGGTGTGTTATCGGAGAAATTTTACCCTGTCAGTGGCGCTACGGCCTATTCTAATTTCAAATTCAACTCTGAACGTTCTTTTACGTGCACGACAAGGTGTACACGAGACCTCGGTTTTTCGTACCATCCGGACGACTACGCACTAGCTTTGTCAGGCCCTCGTCCAGCACCACTGACAAGTGGAAACCACGCCGGAAAATCCCGAGGAACTTTCTCTTCTTAGCTACTGAGCCACTGCGGCTCCCACGAAGCGGGGCATTAATAATAGACGTGCCACAGTCTACACTAGCAATATAAATACTCTGTCATAAATCATGAACTCGCAAGTAAATCATATATGATGATTGGGAAATTATCCAAATAATTACTTAGTCCCAATCTTTTGTATCATTTTTTTATTATTATTTTCAGACACAGTTTCCAGAATAAAGACAATTTCTCCAAATAATTAATAAATCCCATTCTTATGTATAAATTTATTTATTTTAGGCAAAGTTGCCAGAATAAAGAAACTTTTTGAAGAACTCGAATAAGAAGATTTCGATTAACTCAGGTAATTTATATTTATATCTCGAGAAATTGTGGCAATATGGAAATATAAATGCGTTTTATTTTAATGTAGTGGCATGGAACAGATTTATTGGATTTTGTATATTGAATTGTTTTGTGGGAGACAGATTGTCTTCATTGAAAACTGTGCGTCGATAGAACACGCCATGAAACCGTCGATAGAGCAAGCCTGGATTGAAACTAGTATTAGTGTACATTCGATTTCCGCTTAATCTTTCAAAACAAAAATTTAATTGTGTATAGTCTGACCCATCGCTTATCGAAAAACACATCAGATAAAGCAAGTCAAGACTGCCGATGGGTCTAAAACGGAAGGTTGACTAAATGAAAGCTTGAAAAGGATGGAACCTTTCGCATCGGTCAACGCTTTTGTGGATGTTCGAGTAATTAATATTCTCTTTAAAACCTTCCGGACAAATTTCAAAGAACAATAATGATTATGTCAACGCTTTTCCATATGATATTATACTTTCCATTCTCATAAAATATTGTTTCAACTAATTGGCATTTTGACGAAACGCAGACATTTCTATTTAATTTAGATAATGAGGAAATATATCATTGTAATATCAGGGTGGCATGACCACAATAATTGTAAGATGGACGTCCATAGTGTATTGAACGCCTTTCGGCAGACAGTGAGTTGGTATTTTGACAAGCTTTGTCAATTAATAAGTTTACTGTCATTCCGTAAGTAAGACAGTCGACTAATACCGTTCATGTTAAGATATTAATTAATTTTATTACATTTAATAAAACTTTCGCTTGTACCTAATATTTAACATTATTCAAACGTACAACAAAATTGTTTAGCAATATCGAGCAAGAATAGTCTGAAACCAAATACGGGCAGTGTTAACCATAACTAAACTATATAATCAAGCAAAAGAATCCGGAATTATATGGCACAGTGGGTGGCTACGATCGAGCAAGACGTATTCATTGAATTAAGAGTTGTTTGTTAAGATACATTATTAAAGATCTAGGTATTTATGCCTTAAATGTTATATACGAGCGTAATTGGACATTTATTAACATGACAAGATCGTAATCAACTCTCGAAGCCATCGGATACCTGAGATTTTCACTAGATTAGAATGGTTCGGCCATTTAATGATTTTATTTAAACATTGGAAAGCGAAGCTAAGCCTCGAATATACCAGTACCGTGGTTACGATAATACACTTCAATACACACATCTTGTCAAACTATAAACAGTGATAACTTGGCTCAGAATAAAGTAATTTGAATCAAATTTTCAATATATTCATTTTGCATTATCTATTTTTGAACTATTATAGCAAGAAAGACCAGCTCTTTACAAATCTTACATAATGTATCTTTAAATGGCATGTCTGTCCAGTTATAATCGGATGCAGCATAAATTTTATTTAGCGTCACAGGATGCAACCCATTATCTTTTTGCCCGTTTCAAAGCTAACCCTCTCTACCGCAAATGAAGCAACTTGGCGAGATGGTTTGCTCCAAAGCTTACACACGGCTGACCATGGAAACTGTAAAGACTATACATGCCTATGAAATTTTCTAGAATCGTGTAGACCCAAGTTAATATGTCTAGATTTAAACATATTATATTCATTTTTTTGTATTTATTTCAGATTCACAGATATGCAACAAGTTTTAGTTTTCGGGTTGCTACTAGTTGTGCCCTCCGTTTTCGGCTTTTCTCTGGTGACCACGTGTCTTACAAAATGTCTGTATTGTGTCGACGACTGGGGCAAGGATGTGTATAATGGCAAGGCATGTGCGCTGGAATGCGAAAGAAGTATGGGTAAAAGCATAGATATCGACTGTTCCATGGGCCACTTGCAGTCCGGAAAACGAACAATGGTACGTAATATGAAACCATCTGGAAAGGAAACGTGTTTTGGAAAATGCCGCCGATGTGCTTCAATAAAAGGTCTTAAGGTTCTCGATGAGTTATCATGTATATTTGGATGTATTTCCAATTCGAAAGTGCCTTTCGATTGTTAAATTATTAAATTATAACTAACTGCTTCGGGCGTGTTGACTGAAATCTAATCGAGCATGAAGCATCTAAATGAATAGGACTTGACCAGAAGCAGAACCGCCAATACATATCATTTTATTATTTAAGAGAAATAGATGCTTAACCGGGATACATTTAAATTAAACATTTTTCTTCTAATTATCCTACAATGACACCTTACATGTCATAATTTTAGTCATTACACTTGTGTTCATATTATTTTCATGTATATGTAACTGTTAAATACCCAAGATCGTGAAATAAGACTCACAGCAGTGTAACATAGAAATGTTATTATCAGTAAAATTGGTTTACAGAAATAGATTTAAAAGTTGGATACATTCAAAATAAAGGGTTTATTTTTTTATTCACCCAATGGCATTGCGACTGCATTCATATTGTTTTTATTTATACATATATTTATGGAGGCTAAATATTTGCAGTAGTCCCGTTGATATTGTAACATAAAAACGTTTTTTTAATAATTGGTTTGGTTAATATTTAATAATAATTTGAGTGGAAATCAAGAATTCTAATTAAAATCTAAATAACTTCATTAAATCACACAGTAAAATTTATAATTTCTGCAAAATGTGGTATTTTTATTATATCGGTCCTGGGCGGGGGTGTTACTTTTCTTTTTATTTTATTTTATTTCAAGATTTGATTGTGTTATATCGTTAAAGCTCTGTCCATTATGTCCATTAACTATAAATCACTAATATTTAAAATCAGAAAGCTCTGTGCATTAACTATTAATCACTATATTGGAAACCAGAAAGCTTTGTCCATTAACTGTTGGTCACTTATATTGAAAATTAGAAAGCTCTGTCCATTAACTAACATTGAAAGCCCTTTCCATTAACTGGTCACGTATATTGGAAACCAGAAAGCTCTGTCCCTTAACTATTTGTCACTAACATTGAAAACTAGAAAGCTCAATCCTTTAACAATTGGACACTTACTTTGGAAACTACAAAGCTATGTCAGTTAACTATTAATCACTAATATTGAAAATCAGAAAGCTCTGTTCATCAACTATTGGTCACTTAATATTGTCTGGTGATTTGAAACTGGTAAAATTAAAATATAAATTGGAATTGACACTTTCATTGCTGCAATGCAATCGTCAAACTGTGCATGAAGATTCAAATCCGATGTACCCGTGCCACCAGTGTCTGTCAATGGGGCTAACGTTTGTTACCACGGATGGAAATATCATAGACAAGCTGTGACATCAGACGTAGACGGCAATTTAAGGCGTAAGGTCGTGTATTGTGCAAAATGTTTAGTGAATTAAAGGCGAGACAAATATAACACGCAGATGCTTTAATAGACTTAATATCATTTCCTGCGGATGCTAGAAAACCCGAAGAAGTCAATTAGTATTGGAACCGAATTGATCAACAATATCAAATACAATGATTACTAAGTCCATCGTAGTCATTAGTATACATAAATGTTTTAAAGCCGGAATGTCATGTAAACTGGAAAAAGCATCTAATCACGTTTTTATTCTTATACAAAGCTAAACGTAGGATGCCGAGATCTCAATTATTTATAGATATTGTGGTATTCTACGCCGTTTATATTGTGTTAAAGATCATGTATTTAAATCGCCAAATGTATATTCAAAAACCCAAGTTATTTTGTGTTGTATTGTTCACCTTATGATCTGAAGCCCACAAACTGTGGGTGGCGAGGTGGTTATTATCATTTCCGTTCTTTCGCATTGATTGATCGACACCGTGTTTGACTGATGGGAATCACAATCCGAATTAAGTTTTATTCTTATACATAAACACTTATACGACCCCTGCCATAACGATACCTAATTCCAGTAATCGGAATAAGCTTTCCATGACCGCAACTAGAAGAAACTCACTGGAAATCATAAAATTTCGCAAGTAACCAAATTAATGCAATATTATTTGTAAGGGAAAGTGGATTCTAAGCTTGTCAAAAGACACTATTTACCTCTAACAATTAAGTTAATGTTAAAATTGAATACGATGTACCCGTATTTAAGTATTTATTGATGAAATTTCATATCACGTCATTTTTGTTTTATTTATTCATGGATTAATTCCCTAATTCATCCCTCAATTAATTAATGCTGTATTTTATTTTATCTTTATGTTTTATTGTGTTATAGTTTCTCTCTGTTGGTATTTTCTCAAGATAATAATAAAAACAATATAATTAAATAATCAGATTCAGTTTTGTTATTATCACACTACCGGATGCGAAACAGCTACCCGGTGTAAACCAAAAGGAAATGAAATGGGGTTTTACGCCCCGCTGTTCTACACCGACTGGGCTAATGAAGACGGGCATACACAATGCAGTGTTATGAGTGAACTCTTTTTTGGTCAGCGGCACTAGGTTCTACTCTTATCTCGTACTTCAACTGTCAAGTGTTTTTTACGTGAACACGTGCACATGGGACCTCGGCTTTTCCTCCCATCACAACGATTGGACCGCGGTCTTTGTCAGGCCCTTCGTCCTGCACCACTGACAATTGGAAAGAGGGCCAATACCGGGAAGGAACCCGAGACCTCCAAGCCAACATGCCAGCGTGTTACTCGCTGAGCCATCATGTTTCTGATATCCTGCCTAGGTGTAAAACGGTTACTCGGTAAATACGAAAGAGCCAATTAATATTATTTAATGAACATCGTCACCATTCTTACCGATAGTCGTAATGTGATTATCGGATTTGTAATTAGCTTAACATATCCAACACGAGCAAAGAATCAAATGTGGTTTTAAGTCTCGTCAACTATACTTAAGTCATTTGGAAACTAACATACGCTGATCTTTATTTCTATGACTTCATTTACAATGCGGAGGGTGAATATCGTGGTGTTTCGTCCGAAACATACGACTAGGCACACTTTTCCTGTCAGCCTCGGCTGCGACACTCCTGGCAACTGAGAACTAGGCTTACGAAAGATGCGACAGAGTATGAAGAGAGCTATAGAAATAATTTAATGAAATGTAGCACAGTTCATATGCAAATAGTATGGTCTTATATTTGATTCAACTTGGCAGATGTAAGGATCAAGACATCAAAATTTGGTACGTGTACTATGTATACGCGGTGTCAGGACGTGATGCGCATCAACTAATATAATATGTAAAATGAAATGAACTGGGGTTTAAAATACTACTTTTCTTCTCCAATCGGGCTATTGAAGACGAGCATACGCTATGCCGTGTTGTATGAGGGGAATTTGTGCACGGGCAGTGGCGTTTCCGCTTACTTTTTATCGAAACCCAACTGTCAAAGTCTTTTTTACGTACTTGCCAATCCCTTTTCATCGAAATCCAACTGTAACGGGTTCTTTTTTGTACACGTACAGGTCTTCATGGGGCCTCCGCTTCACGTCCAATTCGAACCACTAGATGCTGTTATCCTCCCCAGGAACTCCAACCCGCGGCACTAAGAAGGGGAATACATGCTGAAAATGCCGATAAACTTCTCGGCCAACACCAGTCACAGTACCGCAGTTCTAAAATAACGATTACATATGATTCGATTTAAAACGAGCCACATCAAATTCAGAAATAAACACACATGTACAAAGATTCTGGCGAAGCTGGTAGAGATAATTTAATGTGTGAAATATCTTTATTTAACGCGGGGTGATATCACAAGACAAAGATAATTTAATGGAATTTTGTACAATTTATATGGACACAAATCCACATCTGTATGGAAGACCAAACAGCTCTTTATTCAGTGTTCTTAATTCTTAGTTCTTAATTCATTGTCCTTATTTCTTATTTCTTCATTTGTTGTCGTACTCCGACATGTCTACACTAAAACTAACACTGGTATTGTAAAATCAATATTTGTTTTACAAATCAGACATTTGCTATATCAGATTTGTAAATTTAATTTTTGTTTAAATTATAGTTTAATATAAAGATCTGAAATAAAAAAAATAGCCTATAATTTACATTTCATTAGAGGCATACAACGAAAAATAAATCTCGAATAACAAATTTCCAAATACAAATCTCCAAATACAAATCTTGCATAACATTTCTCCAAAAACATTTCTCTTAAGTCATCATAACGGAACATTATGACGACATGAGCGGAAATCAACCTGGCATACAATAAGTCACCATACAATAGTGGAGAATCGAGCAAGCATATGCACAATAAGAAAAATCGCTGGATGACCGTGACCATAGTGAAACCACATGGGCAGTACGGCTAATCGGGCCCGGCCTTCGATAAAATAAATAAAGTTAAAGTAGTCTATTTTCAGAAAGTAGGTTATTGTCCGATAGCGACATATTTCTTTGCTCAAACGAAAGGGTATTTTATCTTTTATAAATCATACAATCAAAAAGGGGCCAGGGAATAAGTAATTGAAAGAGTGATAAGAAAAATACTTTTCGGTCATACATTATTCGATAACCCGTATATTAACATTAAAATACCCCTTCCCCATTAACTAAATAGTATTTAGCCTCATCCAACTTTAATACCCTTTTCAAACTATGTTAATCTAAATGTACACAGAATATAATTTACATTTTGAAAATGTCAGTGAACATTCTTTTCATTGGTATCCAGTGTGATTTCTGGAATTACGTAGTATGGTCCGTATTTTGACATTTAATAGAGTTTTGTGCCATGCATCTTTTCAAGTTATTTTCTCGCACATTTATATTTACACACCTTGAAAAAAAGTTTCACGGTACTAAACTGATTTATTAAGTGGAGGGAGAGGTGGGGGGGGGGGGGGGGGGGGGGTATTTAAAGTAAAACAACCGGATATTAATAATATATATTCATATAATGCTGGAAAATGTTTATTGCTTGCTGCAAAATGTAAATTATTTTTAGCCACATTTATATTTAAATACCTTCAAAAAAGATCAAATTTGAATGGCACTAGGGTATATTAAATGAGGCAGTATGGGGTATTTAACGTCAAAATTCAGACCATAACACGAAATAAAAGACATCGGGATGCATATCTTTAAAAATGGTTAACGCTTGAGCGTTGAGTCATAAAGTCTGTCATTGAGTCCACTGGCGTGGTTTCGATTCCCCGGTTGTACGTTACAAAGGGTAGGATCGCCTGTCGTTTTCCGGGCCCTCCGGATTCCACCCACTGCTAAAGACCCCTACGAGCAAGCTAATTATTTGTCCTAAGAAATATGTCGCTTTCAATAACTTATCACTATCAATAGACTACTTTCAATTTATTTTATTTAATACTAGATCGGATTATATGTTGGTTGATCCGATCTAGTATTAAATATATATATATATTTTTATATATATATATATATATATATATATATATATATATATATATATATATATATAATTATATATATATATATATATATATATATCTGTAGTGAGTTGTTGTTCTAATGTACAGTATCATATATCATAGTATAAAATAAGCAAATCGGTGTTATTTTTATATTTTATACTATGATATATATATATATATATATATATATATATATATAGAAACATTTTTTGCCATATGTCGCTTTCAATAACTTATCACTGTCAATAGACTACTTTCAATTTATTTTATTTAATACTAGATCGGATCAACCAACATGGATTATCCATAACACGTACTTGATTTCACTAAAGTCACGATCATTGAGCGATTTTTCTTATTATATATCGTGCTCTATACCGCATTATTGTATGGTGACTTATTGTATGCCAGGTTTACAAATCTAATATGACAAATGTATAATTTGTAAAACAAATATTGATTTTAAGATATAAATGTTAATTATGAAGAAATGTTAATTATGAAGAAATGAGAATTAAGGACTATGAATTAAGAAGTAAGAATTAAGGACACTGGGTAAATTGCTGTTTTGTCTTCCATAATCTGAAACGTGATAGATTTGGACGTGTGCAAATTAAATACGGGTGAAACAAATCGGTCAACTTAAAGCTAAGAGACTCATTTTATATCTTTTTGCGACACAGTGTCACTCTTACGAATTGCAATGAAATGGGATTTAGCGTCTTACGGTTCTGCACCAAATGTGCTATGGGGGAAATTCGACCTACTCTTATATAAAATTATATCGAATTCCAACTGTGAAGGGTGCTTTGATGTGTATCTCAATGTGTACCTGAGACACTCTTAACATCATAAAATTCTCTCGACGTTTTCAAGAAGGTACACTTACAAATCCTACTACTGGTTCTTTAACGTTTGCTTCCACAGAAGTGATGTCGCAGACAAACAGTAACAAATGTGTAGGACAACAAAATAGAAACCATGCATGAAAACAACGAGTTTAAAGGCAAGACAACAACATGATCAAAGGATTAGAGAGGCTACTGATGATTGACATTAATTAACATTGGAGATATTAATGATTAATCATAGGGGTAAATAATTTGAGACAGACAATCAATAATGACAAATCAGAAGCCATACGTGAGGTGAGGGTACATCAAAGGAAAGTAAAAGACTCATAATAGGTAGTAACAAATGAACATAAAAAAGACAAACAAAGGTGAAACCACAGATGATACCAAACATCGGATAATTAGTAATTACAGATATACTAAATGGGGATTAAATAGTTGGACCATAGTTAAGTGATTGCCCTACATATTTGTTACCGTACATACTAGAAAACGTCGATAGAATACTCTTGGAAACGTCGCCTAAATAAATCAGTAACTGTTCTTCCATCAGTATGTGTTATAGTTTATTGCTCTATACAGTTACTAAATGTCGCTAAAAGATTAGATACTAACATAGTATATATTATTATCTATTAGCAATCTTTTAATGGGTGGCTTAATTAAAATCTACAATATGTCCAACTTTTAAAGCTGGCATTCTGTTTCTATATGTAGCTAATCGTAATATTATTACATGTATATTGGTAGGGTATGAACCTGCTTTAACTGTTGAATTCATTATGTCTCGATGAGTCATTTTTGCGGCGCTTTAGGAATCACTTGCAAACTACAATATTGTCAAAGATGAAACTCAATTCCGTTCAGTATTTACAACGATGTCTAGAATTGAAATTTCATCGATCAATGCTGCTTGATATGTGCACGAAAATTTAATGATAGGCCTGTTTTAAATCCTATGGAATCCAAGCAGGAACATTATCCAGCGTTGGTATTTTGATTTTGTTTCAT